ATTTCTTTTATTTTTGAGTTGCTCTTCGTTGGGATTACTGTTACATGATATCCCTTGTTGCCAGTTTAGTCTCATGCCTTTAGACGTAGTACTAGCTTGTGTCATCTCTTTCATTGTTAGCTTAATTCATACACTAGAATTCAGAGTTTTCCATTTCATGGAGATACTGTCACTATTGAGTTATCCTTAAACAATTAATTAGAATTGAAGCTATCAAGAGTCATTAATCTATTTTAGTTGAAGTTGTGTTTAAGGGAGGTGTTGTTCCTTGTTAAGTTACTTTTCCATTTATTTTGTTGTTATTGAGATTCTATATACGTTGTGTTGAGACGTGAGCTAATTGTTGTGAAAATATTAATATCATTGAATCCTTGGAAAGGTTGTGGCCTACGAGCACATGTGATATAAGTAATATGTTGTGTTATTGTAATGATAGTACGTGTAAATTGTTATGTGGTTTGGTTGTTGTTATGCAGAGTATAAGGGTGGTATCTTACTGTTGTTGGATGTACAGAGTGATACAGGTGGCTATCGTGTTATTGTCCGGGCAGAGTGATGAGGATGGCTATTACAGGGAGTGATAAGGGTGACTATTACACGAGCGATAAGGGTGGCTATTACATTGAATGATAAGGGAGGCTATTATACGGAGTGATAAGGGTGGCTATTATATGGAGTGATACGGATGGGTATGGGAGAGATAAGGGTGGAAATGTCAGGGATGATGTGTGACGGTTTGGAGACATTGTGTTGGTGACTTTCGAGTGACGGTGAGCTATTTCCTTGTGTTTGTCATACACCTTACGTGATTTGTTGTGTTGCTTCAATGAGCTACTCGATGTCTTTGATATTACTTGTTGACTTAGGCTACAGTAGTACACTCGAACAAGCATACACTGTAGCATGCCACTTATCCTAGTTCAGGAGTATGAAACTTGACATTTATTAATCATGCCCATATGTTCTTGTATTATCCGTTTTCATGTTGTTATTAAGCATGTGATTATGCCGGGCAAATTATGATTGTGAGCTTGTGATCATGTCGGACAGATTGTGATTGTGAGCCTGTGATCATGCCGGGCGGATTGTGATTGTGAGCCTGTGATCGTGCCGGGCGGATTGTGATTGTGAGCCTGTGACTATGCCAGACGAATTGTGATTGTAAGCCTGTGACCATGCCGGGCATATTGTAATTTTGGCACGTGAGTTGTCCGTGTGGTTGTGATTCGAGATATGGGCATAAGGTGTCGTGAGTATATGATGGTGGGTTAGGACCCGAGACTTGTGACTATGATATGAGGTACCACAGAGTGATTTCGTTGTGAAACTTGTGTTAGAACGGCTTGATTAATCGGTTGTGTTTTGTATTCCTTATTTGGTTTTAATGATACTTCACAGTGTTCTTATTGCTTTATTGTCTATATCACATGTTGATTTTGTTGCCATTTACCGATTTCTGCTTTTCATTTTTAGCTTTATATCTCTATTCTTTATAGGTTGTTTTGTCTAGTGAGTATCTTGACTTGTACCTCGTCACTACTCCACTGAGGTTAGTCTTGATACTTACTGGGACCGATCATGGTGTACTCATACTATACTTTTGTATATTTTTTTGCAGAGCCAGGTATTGGATATATCGGACCCGACAAAATTAGCTTGTTGATCGCGAGGATTCAAGGTAGAGCTGCTTGGTCATCGCGGTCCCTTGGAGTCTCTTCCTTTCATTGTACGGTCAGTTTGCCATTTGAATAGTATTGTATTTCGATCCTTGAGATCATTCTATATATTCAATTAGAGTTCGTGGCTATGTATCACAAGTCTTGGGAAGTTATTATGATTATTGTTGCGTATGCTTATTCAGCTTTTGTCTCGGCACTATATTAAACTATGTTTCAAGTTATCATTGTTAAGAATTGGCTTAATCGTTGTTAGTAATCAGCTTACCTAGTCTTAGAGATTAGGTGACATCACGATATCTTACGGAGGAAAGTTGGGGTCGTTACAATTATATTCTCTCCTTCATGAATCATCAACGCAATAAATTGCAAATTCATACACCTCGATGCCATTTGGTTACATGTAACCACACTAGCCCATGATTGTGATCCAATAGTAGCTGATCGAACTTTAGGCTGCCTCTGTACCTCGCCTGCCTTTGCTTTACGATTATCTTCAGCCATAACTTATTTAGTCAACTTCTTCTTTGGGCTCACATCCCTTGCTCTCTATGTTGTTGTAGCAATAACTAAGCTGGAATTACTTCTAGTCGTAGTCAATTTCAAATTACTCGTGTGGATTGAAATGTCTGTTCATTCACCATGGACAAACAACAGAGTACTTTTTTCTCCCCCCATCATCCCCCAAAATGTATTGCCACTAATTGAGTTGAATTGCTTTCAGTCGTAGATAATCCCTGAATCAGTCACCACTTATGTGGATTGAACTGTCTGCTCCTTCATCGTGGTTACTAGTGTACTCTTTTCCCACCTCCATTGGTTATCACCCCTTTCGGCGAATTAATTGTTCCTTTCCCTATTATTCGCCCATCCGTCAACCTTGAACCTTGATATGTAATCGGAATCTTGCATACGTTTTTCCGGCCCCATTATGGCCAGTAGTTCATGTTAGATAATCCACCCTAATCACACGCTTTAGAACTTTTATAGAGCGAGAAAAAAACTTTTACTTCCATTTATTTATTAGAAGGAAAGAATGTATTTTCTTCCTTTTCCCAAAATATTTGCTATAGTATATTCAATATCTGTAAAAAATTTAAGAATTCAAACTCTATACTAGTAGTAAATATGAATGATGTAATTATTTCTGTATTTAATTAACTTGTCACCATTACTTCAGTATTTTCTTTCATCGTTACTATACAAATCAAATTTACGTCTTAAACTATATTATTAACCAAAAAACTAGTATCACCTTTCCTCAAAACGGATAGATACAGGACTATTTATGATATTAGTATTTGTTGAAGTTTGGCAAAATGCCAAAGTCCCACATTGGTTGGGAGTTAAGTTTGGGGGGGATTTTTCCCCTATAAAAGAAGGCCTAATGTTTAGGATTGAAACACACCTCTCATTTGCCTTCTCATCTGTTTAAGGCATTTGTATCTTCTCTCTTTAGTATTATTTCACTTGTATTTTTGGAGTGAAATAAAATATTGGTTGTGTCCGAGGAGTAGGCAAAATTAGCCGAACCTCGTAAATTCTGGTGTTTCCTTTATTGTTGTTTTATTGTCTTATTTATTATTTGGTGGCTGTCATAATTTTTGGTATAGTAGTTGTGACTTATTCACACTATATACATTTGGCTTCCGCAACAATTGGTATCAGAGCCAAGGTACTGTCTAAGTATGCTCTGTGGTTGCAGCATAGTCTGATCTTCCACATCAGAAAAGATTTATCTTGGTAACTGAGTCAAGGTTCTGTCTGAGTATGCTCTGTAGTTGCAGCTTAGTCTGATCTTCTACATCAGAAAGGAAATAATCTTGATTTGTGTCGTCAGTTATTAAATAATATTTGTGTCAAATATGGGGGACAATAAACAAGAAGAATCTACATCAAGTGTCAACAATACGTCATCATTGGCATCTTCGCTTATGACAAGAATTGTGTCAAATGCGAAATTTGCGGTAGAAATTTTTGACGGGTCCGGACATTTTGGGATGTGGCAAGGCGAGGTTCTAGATGTCCTNAAAGATTGGTGGCCAAAGGATATGCTCAAAAGGAGGGAATTATTACAATGAAGTGTTTTCTCCAGTTGTAAAACATTCCTCCATTAGAATTATGTTGGCTTTGGTAGCACAATTGGATTTGGAACTAGTTCAGATGGATGTAAAAACTGCGTTTTTACATGGAAACTTGGAGGAGGAAATCTACATGACTCAGCCAGAAGGATTCAAAGTTGCTGGAAAAGAAAATATGGTGTGCAAACTTGAAAAATCGTTGTACGGATTGAAACAATCTTCTAGACAATGGTACAAGCGATTTGA